GGCTGTTCTTGAGAGTCTTCGCGTGTAGGAGTGCGACGGTTCACGAGGAGGCGATGCTCGCCATCGGGGCACTGGCGGATGCTATCGGAGTGGAGTTCGGGAAGTACATGCAGGAGTTTTACAGATACTTGGAGATGGGACTCCAAAACTTTGAGGAGTACCAGGTGTGCGCCGTGACGGTCGGGGTTGTGGGTGATATATGCCGAGCTCTCGAGGACAAAGTTCTCCCTTTTTGCGACGGGATAATGACACAGCTGCTCAAGGACCTGGGAAGCAACCAGCTCCACCGCTCCGTCAAGCCGCCAATCTTCTCGTGCTTTGGAGACATTGCGTTGGCCATCGGGGAGAACTTTGAGAAGTACCTGAGCTACGCGATGCCGATGCTCCAGAGCGCTGCGGAGCTCTCGGTCATGCAAGCGGCCGGAGACGATGAGATGCTCGACTACAACAACCAGCTGAGAACAGGGATACTGGAGGCGTACTCGGGGATTTTCCAGGCATTCAAAGGCACCAAGCCGGAGGCGATGATGCCTTACGTAGCTGGCATATTGCAGTTCATCGAGAGTGTGTACCAAGACAAGGAGAGGTACGTTTGCTTGTTTTCTTTTCTTCTCTTTTCCCAGGATGATGAACCGAAGCTAACTTTTGTTCTTGTGCAGAGATGATGTGGTTCTTAAAGCTGCGGTGGGAGTGATGGGCGATATGGCCGACTGTTTAGCAGGCACCAGCGCACAGTTCTTCCGAAACTCGGCCTTCTACAAGGATTTCCTGGACGAGTGCTTGTCGTCGGACGATCACCGGCTCAAGGAGACCGCGGAGTGGGCTCAGGCGACGATCAATCGCTACATGGTGTAACGCTCGCTCGAGAGGTAACAAGCTTGATCCTTAGACTCCCATCCATCATCGGTCTTCCTCCATATTCATTCATTTCTTTTGAGCTTTCTTCTTCTTCGCTTTCATTGCGCTTCCTTGTAAACTTGAGTCCTCTTCTCCCTCGCCATCTCCATCTTTCTTCCATTTTTTTTTTCTTTGCTTTGGTCATTCTTCTTTTTTCTTTTTCCACTCTTTGAGCCTTTGGGCTTTTAGAAATTTAGCAGCAGCTCCGGCTCCCGAGTGAGAGAGCAGCAGCGTGAAAAGAGTCAGTTTGAGTGAGGGCAGCGAAGCGTATAATTTTGTCCAATACGTGTTCTCGCTGCCCTCTTTTGTAGGTGAAAGAGGTCCCGAGCGATGGAACCTCACAGAAAAAAGTCAGTGTAATTTTTATTTAAAGAAATTATTATTACACAAAATAAAAACTAATTTTTAACTGCTACAAGGAATAAACTTAACAATATTTATTATTAATTGACCATATCATGACTCAAAAACCAAATAGTGAGGTGATTTAGGTAAAGCTGATGTAATACATTTTACTTTTTGCCAAATTCATAATCAATTTACAAACGTTATTGCCGCTTTGTTGCAATGCATCCCAACACAACAAAAGGATCTAATCATGCTTTTAAAGAAATCTACATTCCATGATTTATAACAGAACCCTAAGATTAAGAATTTTCTTTACTAACCATGGTGTTTTAAAAATCTTAATGATGATTATAGAAAGTTCCGGTCGTGCGTTCGAATCCCGTCCCCAGGCAGAGCGGGGGTGCGTTCACGGGTTCGAATCCACTCTGACTTCTTATCATTGCTCCAAAGGGAGGATGAAATAAATACTGTGCCTAGAGGAAGGAGAGACTAGCTAGTACAACAAAGAGGAGGCCTTTGATTTCCCTACGCCCTGTCTGTTCTAGCTAGGAGAATAGCTAAAAGCTCTTGAAACAATCCCCACCACCACCGGACTTTTACTCCTCTCATGCTCCAAATCTCTTCTCTTCTTCCAAGTTTTGCTGCTGCTGCTGCTGTTGATTGATGCTTTGCTTACTTGCTGCTGCTGCTGCTTCATTGATCCATTCAAATCCTTGCGTTTGCTCCAGCTGCTGGCTTAATCTTCCTCTCCTCTACGCAGCCATCACCGCACAGTTGTATATGAAAGTCCCCAGCATGGTCACGTATCGCCACACTGGTCGCTCCTCCTGTTCCTCCTGTGATGTTTGAGCACCACCACCTCGAGCTGGTCTCCAGGCCCAGATCTCGATCCGATCAGGAGCGTCCTGACCACCAATCACGTACAGCTCGCCCTCCATGGCCTTGAACGCTATCCCCCACCCGGAGTTAAAGTCCGCTCTCACCGGAACCTCTCCCAGCGTTCTCCAGTCGTTTCTCATCTTGTTATACACCTTGAGCTCGTTGAGCGCCGTGTCCAGCGCGTAGAGCTGGTTGTCCACCACCGCCACCAGCGGCGGCGCCGTCTGGGACTGCTCGCTCGTCCCAAAGTACATGTTTGGGATCAATCTCCACGTCCCGGTAGCCGGATCGTATTCCTCTCCGCAAGTTAGCTGATCCTGTCCATCCTTGCCACCGATCACGTAGAACTTCCCATCCATGTAGAACCCCGAGCAAAGCCTCCGGCACCTGTTAAGATCCGGGAGTGGCTCCCAAGTCCCGGCCACCGAGTTGTATCTCTCGGCGCTCTTGAGGTTGTCGGTTCCAACCATGCTCGTCCCGCCAGCCACGAAACCATAGTTTCCACAGCTCGCCGACGCGTATAAGCTCCTCGACTGGATCATGTCCGGGCCTTTGATCCACTTGTCCTGGACCAGGTCGTAAATCCACACCACGTAGCCTTTGATCTCCATGCCTCGCACCAGCAGCTGTGTTCCGGCCGTGAGAGTCTCCTTGTCGCTCACCTCGAATGCGTAGTCGGACGGGATGGACTGGAGCTGCCGCCATGTCCTCTCCCGGGGATTGAAAGCTCGCCACACTCGCTGGTGGCCATCGCTGAGAATGTACATCCACTGCTCCACGATGCCCAGCTGCTGGCGGGCCTTGTAAATCTCTCCACGCTTGAGCTTGTCGTAGAACTTGCGGCTAACTGTGAAGTACTGCCAGTACGTTGATCTGGGCAGCCTCGCCAGGCACAGCAGCGCTAGATCGTCCGTCAAACCTGGAATGAGCTCTTGCTCCTCGTCGTGTTCTTCGTCTTCCAGAGGATCTCCATTCTCGAATCCACTGCTGCTGGTGCTAGTGTGATGGTAGCCATTCAACCTGGCGCGCTTAGGTCGGTCGTGGAATCCATTCTTCTTCCCATTCTTGGGCCGCCCGTTCTGTGGATGCTGCAAGGAAAGGCGCAGACCATTGGCGAGATGATCCCTATTCTCGGATCCTGCGTGATCACGGTAGGCCATCTCCATCCCCTTGCTGCAGCCGCTCCCATCACAGTAAGCCATGCCGCAGCAACGACGACGGCGACGACGCGGCAAAGATTCCAGCTCCTCCTCCCATGCCCAATCTACGCGGCCGCTGGAGCTAGCAATGCCCGCGCAGCCGTCGAGAATTTCTTGTCCTCCGCGCCATAGCCCGCACGCCGCGCATCAATCGCCGGCAGATCTAGGCGAATCCACCGGACAAGAAGCGCGATTCATGCCTAGATCTAGATCGCTCCGCAAGAAATCCAGCTAACCCTAGCGCGCGCTCCCAGCGAAGACGACGAAACCAACGAAACGAACCCTTGCTTGAATGAGGAGAGATGCTCCTCTCGCCTGTGTGGTCATTGGGCCTAGGTCCGGCACTAGCTTCGGCGCCACACCAACCGCCGAGCCAGTCGCCGAGCCAGCACCGAGCCACCGTGGCGGTCATGACGTGACGGGCGTCGACGGGTGTCCGTTCCGTCGCGGGACTCAATCATTTTGGTCAACCCCCAGACCGCATATTCCGCGTTTACCGTCAAAAACTTAAATATCTCCGTTTCCCGCCCTGTGTTTAGGGTTCTTTTTTTTTTTTTTAGGGTTCTTCGCTGCGAGATTTATTTCTTCGCAGCGTTCCTCAGGCTCCGGATCGTCATCACAAGCTCCTCGCGCTCCGCCTCCACCTGCGCGAATCGGAGGCTCATGCTCAGGTACCTCTCGCGCATCTCGCCGAGCTCGGTTTCCAGATCGCTGCTCTTGCGCTTGTATCCCAGCAGGCTGCTCACGACGTGATCGACGTCTCCCAGATTCTGGAGCGCCGCGGCATGGACGTTCTGCTGTGTCGCGAATGCGCTGCAATGAATGGGTAAAAATCGACCAACTCTCGAAAAGCTTCTAACCTGCGGAGTTGTTCTTTGTACATGGTGTTGGATTCCAGAGCTTCTGCGAGCTCTGTCTCGAGGCTTGCTACTCTCTCCAGTGTGCTCCCCCACTTGGAGCTCTCTTTGAATCTAGTGAGCTTCTCTTGGAGCTGAGCGTTCACCTGGAATGATCGATAGCAAAGTAAGTTTTTCTCGCCCAGAGAATTGATGTCCACTTGCCTGCTGCATTCTCTGGAGCTCCTTTTGTAGTAGCTCCTGCGAGCTTGGAAAGTTGGCCTCCTGCATGAAACTTCGATTAGAAACTGGAGAGTTTTTTGTTTTGCCTCAACCTCATCTTTTTGTTGTTGCTGTTGCTGTTCGTCGGTTTTCTTGATCGAGTTGGAATTAACTTCCTTTTGCCTTGCAGCAACCTCTCGTTTCAAGCTCTCGGATTCAGCAGCCTTTAGCTTCAGCTCCACCTGTTCCAATCCAGTTATAGAGCTTGAACGACGCGAAAGGACAGACATCCAAAGAAGAGAACATAGAGGACGACATTGGAAAACTGAGTAAAACTGGACCAACTAGAAACTGAGAAACTTGGACGAAAGATCGGAAACTTGGAGGGAAAGAAATTGGTACCTCGAGGGACTTGATCTTATCTCGAAGAAGGATAAGCTCCTGGCCTTCTCGTGTTCCAACCTTAACATTGCACTTCGATAATGATCTTGCAAGGACGCCATTACTTCCAGGTGCTATCTTACCGTTTTCGTCTCCGCCACCTCTCCGCTTCTTCACATCAGCTTCCAGGCACTCGACCCGTCTTCTCAGCTCTTCTCTCTCGGCGTCTTGCTCGGTCATCTTTTGCTTCATCTCGCTGTTTTGACGCCGAAGTTTGATGGACTCACATCTCTGCTCCACTTCCAGAGCCCGGCTGGCCGACTGCTCCGCCTGGAGCCTCGAGACACGGTCGTCCACCGCCGCTTTCGACTGCCTGAGCTGCTCCATCTCGGACACCGTCTCAGATAGCTCCGAAACTTTGGCGTCGAGAGAGGATTTCTCGTCCAGAAGGCTGATCTTCTCTTGGCTGAGAGTGTGGAGGCTGGTCTCTAGCTCGGACTTGGCGCTCTGGAGGCCTGCTACTGCTTCCCTGTGCTGCTCGAGCTGGTCGGAGATTTCGATATACTTGGCCCGTAGCTCCGAGTTTTCTCGCTCCAACTTCTGGATTTGACTTTCGAGAGCTGCTTTCTCCGCTGCTAGAGTCCGAGCACTAGCCTCGAGCTGAGCAATCCTTGCAGCCGACTTCTCGAGCTCGGAGGTAACTTCCATTTCTCGTTTCCTCGACGTGCTTAGAACCTCTCTGACAGTTTCTTCGTGTTCTCTATTCAGGGAATCGGCCTGTGCTTCCGCCACTTCCAGCCTCTCCTCAAGCTCTGTCCTGGCGTCCTCCCACTCAAGCTTCTCAGCACGAAGCTCCGATGCCTCGATCAAGGCCTGCGAAGCCAGATGCTCCTTCTCGTCGCAGGTAGCGTCCATTTGATCCGTCAACCTCTGGAGCTCGGCTTGGAGCCGCTCCACGGCAACCGACCTGTCCAACTGTGCTCTCTCATCGATTCTCCTCGACTTCTCTTCCGCCTCAGCCTTGGACTTCGCCATCTTTCGAAGCTCCTCGTTTAGTCTCCCCAGCTCGGCTTCCACTTCCACCACCTTGCCTTCAGCAGATTTTCTCGCCACTACACACTCCTCGTAGCTCTTCCTCGCAGTGGCCAGCTTCTCCTCCATCTCTCGGACCTCTTCTTCACGAGCCTCTTTCAGTTCTCTCATCTCCTCAAGCTGATTCTCGAGCCCCTTACGTGCATGGACTTGAGAGTCCCTCTCTTCCAGCGCCTGAGCCAGCTCCACCTCGAAGCCATGAACCTTAAACTCGTACTCCTTGTTCGTCTGCTCCTGTGATTCCTGTAGCTTGCTTCTCTCTTTCTCGAGCTCCTTCACCCGGTTCTCGCTCGCAAAGCTTTGCATCCGGTACGTCTCTCTCTCCTCGGTCACGAAGTTTAGCTGCGCCTCGAGCCCCGCGATCCTCTCCGTCAGCTGCCAGTTCTCGTCCTCCAAGTGGCTTAGGTGCTTCTCCAGGCTCGCCTTTGCGCTTCCAAACTCCGCCACCCTCTTCTCCAACGTGCTCCTCGCTGAGAGCTCCACCTCGAGCAGCGCATTCGACTCCGCCAGCTCTCCCATTATCCCATCGAGCTTCTCCTTCAAGAACTTGTTGTCGTCCTGTCCGGTGTGGAGCATCCTTCCAAGCTCGAACCTTTCAAGCTCCAGGCCGTCAACTCTCGTCTCCAGCTCCTGCTTCTTGAGCTCCACAGCCTCGAACTCCCTCTTGGTCGACGAAAGCTGGAGCTCCAGATCGACGATGCGCGAAGTGCTCAGTATCTCCCGGCTCTGGAGCTCCTGGATCCTGCTCTCAAGCTCGCTGTTGGACGCCTCCAGCATCACGATCTTCGACTCCATATCACTGACCTTCGCAGCTTTGCATGTCAAGAGCTGCGTCTTCTCCCCCAGATCCGACTCATACTTTCGAGCTAGAGATCGCGACTTCAAGTTCTCGCTCTCCAAGTCCGCGAGCCTGTAAGCTAGATCGGTTTTGGCCACCTCGAGGCTGGTTAGAGCCTCCTCGACTTCGTCCTTCCTCTTGCGGTTCTCGGAGTTTTCCTTCTTCACCGTCTCGAGCTCGGTCTGGAGATCCGCCACCAGCCCGAAAGTCATGGAGTACTTCTCGTGCATCTCGTCTGCTCGCTCCTTGAGCCGGAGCTCCCGGCCCGAGAAGGCCTCTCGATCCATGGCGTGCATGGCTCTCGATGCCTTGAGGTCCGACTTGAGAGCTTGGATCTCCTCGAGCGAGCTCTTGAGCCGGGCTTCCAGGTCGACTTTGGCGAACTTAAACTCCTTGCACAACGACTCGAGCTGCGAGAGCTTGTCATTTGTGTTTTGATGTTCTCTCCGGAACTTCTGGAGCTTCTCCTCCATGTCCGTCATCCCAAGGTAGTCCGACTCTCCAGAAAATCGCGAGAGCTCCTTGTTGGCGATGTTGAGCTTGAAGATCAAGTCTATGTTCTCGTCCGTCAGCTCTTTTATATCCACCTCGAGCTCCTCCACTTCTTTCTTGAGCTCTACGAGCTCGTTTGGATCGATGAGATCGCTGGCTGCTTGAATCGCCTCTAGGCTCGCCAACTTTTGTTGCAACGAGTTCAGCTCTTCCTCTCTGTCTTGAACTTTCTGTGAGAGTACTCGCTCCACTTCTCCCATCGTCTGCTCCTGATCGACCAAAGAGTTTTGGAGCTCCATGTTCTTCACGGACATGTCTTCCATCTTCTTCCTCTCGTCTGCCAGCGTCTCTTCCAGCTCTCTCACCGTCGACGAGAGCTTCTCCTTCTCTTCCTGGATCTTATCCAGCCGTGTGGCGAGATTTTCCTTAGATTCCTTCTCGTACGCCAAAACTTGCTGGAGCTCTTTGATGATATGCTTGCAGTCTTCAAGTTCGAGCTTCAAGCTGGCTTGTTGCTCGTCCAGGCCCTGCTTTTCTACTCTGAATCGCTGCATGGCTTCTTGTAAGCTGTCGAGAGCCGAGCTCTTCTCTTCTCTTGTAGCTATACTTTCGTCAAGTTGGCGCTTCAGGGAGCTTATCTCCTCTCTCAAACCATCCCTTTCACCCGTGAGAACAGTGAATTCCTCCTCTCTCGCGGATGCACGGCTTTCTTGATCGAGAAGCTGCTGCTTGAGCTTCTCTAGCTCTTCTTCCAACTTTGACACCGCTTCATCGACATTGCCAGGAGCTTTGTTATCTCCAGAAAGCCGCGCTACTGTTGCGGATGGCAAACTCGTCCTCGCCGCCGGTTTTAAAGGAGTAGCGAGCGACTTGATCGACTCAGTGCTTGCTCTAAGTCTTCCAGTTCGCTCCAGCCTCGAGTTAAAGCTGCCGGTGTTTGCCGTGCTTGCCGGGGACGGCACTTCCGGGGAGTTGTAAAAGTTCTTGCCGCTTCCATTCGCCACCGGAGTTGAGACATCCGAAGAGTCGGAGTTATACCTCGAAAGGACCTTGTCCTGTAAAAGAGAAAAAAAATAAATCATATCGACCTTTTTTTTTGGGTGGAAGTTCTACTCACTCTACTTGGCGTGGGAGGAGGGAGATTCGTTGACGAGCTAACACTGGAATCATCCTCATCTTCCGAGAGTTGGTCGTTTAGTTCGGCTGTAACTTCCTTCGGTTGCTCAACTTCGCCACTGTCATTGACGTGAAAGAAAGTCAGTGATCCCTCATTGAAAAAATCTTGCTAGCGGCGAGCGCGTAGTACCTGTTTGTGCTCGGGCTGTCTGCCGACGTGAGGCATTGAAGCTTGATCTGTGGGAAGTGGGGTGAGAATCGAACAAATAAAAGAAATGGTACTACGTGAGCGGAACATTTAATTAGACTCGGCGAGAAACTTACGTGCAAAACAGTGCCTGTGGAACAGCTCTTGAGTGGGAAAGCATACGATGCTGCTGAAGTGACCGAGACATAATCCGCTAAGTTGAGCGTGATCTCTCCTAGAACCCGTGTAGGACTCTACAAAAAGAGAAAGAAGATCACCGCTAGCATTAGAATGAACAAGCAGAGATCATACAGATCTAGCATAGGAACTTTGATCCATCACGAAGAAAACGATCATAGAAATCACGACAAGAATTACCACCACGAACACAATCATGATCTAACAAAGATAGAACGCATTCATGCAAGAAAAGAGGCCGCCATAAAGACGAACACGAAAACTTCACACTCACGAAGAAAAAAGAAGCAAAGCACGCCAACAAAAGAAGGAAAAAGAGAGCAAGAGAAAGAAATTTACCATTCCAATGACGAACTTGTAGAGCTTGGCCTCGTAAGAATTCGTGCGCGTCTCGTGAACAAGCCTGGTGGATTCGATGATGGCGTCGGGCCATCGGCAAGCCCCACTCTGCGCCACGGATTTGGCAGTCTTGGCAGTCGTCTTGCCAGTCTCGATGGATTCCAGCGACACGTAGAGCTTCTCCCATCCAGAATGCGGTACCTGGAAGGAAGGAAATCATCCAATCACTCACCAATAATCCAATCCCAAGAACTAGCAAAGACGAGAGAAATCTCCACTCCAGTGATGATCCAATCACTCAATCATACCCGAGTGGCGTGGAAGACGAACTTGAATTCGATCCTCTCGCGAAATTTCTCGGGCTTCTTCTTCCCCGCCTTGCCGCTCATCCTGGCACTGAGCAAAGCCCTCTTTCGTCGTCGAGAATCTTGGCGAACGGGAGCTACATTGTCCGCGGGAGCGCCAGATCTAGCAGCGCGAAGACCCTAATTCCCTGGCAAGGCCCCGCCGATGGAAATGTGGCCTCGCCACGATCAAGAACCGAGGCACGGAGCGCAAGAAAAAAATCTCCGGCGCGTGTGAAAGAATCTCTCGATCATGGAATCCCTTCGCCTGTTACAACAATGCCAGTGCCAGTGCCAAGGAATCCCCCTCTAGCTGCGCGCTAGCTTAGGAAATCTAGCTGGAGGAGCTCGATCGAACCAGTGACGAAGAACCCTAACACTTCATAGCTTTGTTTTGTTCCTAGCTCAAAGGAGCTCTGTTGTGCCATTGCTGTCCTCCACTCCAAAATACGCGAGATGGGCGCTCGCCTCTCTGCGAAATCTCGCAGACCCATTACAGCTCTGTGGTTTCCTGGCGCTCTCTCGCGACACCCGGCCAGATTCTCGGCAGAGCCCTTTTTTATTCTTCTCTCTTTCTTCCCCGAGCTTGCAATTCCCTACGATCTTTGGAGTGAAGCAAACGCTGGCCCTGGTTGGTCTCGCAAATCAATCACCCTGGATGGATAGATCGCCCATCGATCAATCCATCTATGAATGCTGCTTGCCACGGCGCGAGAGAGAAAGGGAGAAACACGAAAGGGGCTTTGCGCTCGCTCGCATTCTTTCTCGCAAATTGGCAGTCTTTGCATTGAATGAGACGAGACACCAGCCAAATTTTACGCTATCGATCGATCGATTCCTCCCGGTTGGTGGATTAGCGAGAAAAAGAGTGTGAAAAGGAGGAAGAACAGCGCTGTAGCAGCAATCGCTTTCGCTGCTACTCTTTACAAAATTTCGTCGCTGGGCTGTCCAGTGTTTACCCCCCCAATGCCAAATTTTCCTCGCTCCTCTGTTAACTCCCAGTCTGGAGAACTCCTTTTCACGGATTAAACTCGTGTTCTTCGCAATGTTTACATTTACCCCGTGTCGGCACCACACCAATTTTAATCCCCAATCATCTGGAGAGCCTTTGTCTCCTAGCAGCAGTACCAAATTTCCTCTTTTTCTTTTTCTTTAGAAAAAGAAGAAAATATTCGAAAAGAATCTCTCCGATTCATTTAACGAATTGCTGCAAAAAAAAAAAAGGAAAAGCGGTCTTCGAGAGAAAAATCTGGTGGAAGAGTGAAGGAACCATACGAGTATGATTGTCAAATTCGTTGCCTGCTGGTTTGGTGTTTGATCCAAAGACCAGCAAACATTTCTTCACTTGTTTATAGCTCTCACAGCTCACGGTGATGATTCATGGTTCCTTTCTTATTTCCTGCGATTAAAAATTCGCACCAACGTTACTATCAAAACTTTCGTTTGGGGAGTCAAATCCAAATCGCGAAGCAAACAAGCATGAGGCCATACATCTCAACACCCCGGCGGTAACGCTACCCCAGTACGAAGCGAGAAAGACTGAAAGAGAAGAGATAGCGAGAGCTGCGATGGCTACGTCTCTCTAAAGTCACGAGGAAAGACGACTATAACAAAAATAAATGGAGAGATCGTAACGAAGAGGACGCAGAGAGGCTTCCAAACAAATCCACTGAAACCACTCAAACATCATCCCGGCCTAGCTAGCTACGGACCTGATCGATCACAAAGAAGCAAAGCCAAGCAAAGTTTCTAGGACACGGACGGGCACACGCAATCCAGCACTCAGCTTTCACTCACGCCTGCCATGGAATCCATGCATTTCAACAACCTCAGAAGCTTCAAGTCGGTTTTCTTAAAGCCAACGAGCTCATGAGCGGCCTGAGAGTAAGATCTGACGCTACCTATCCAACTACGAGCGGAACAAACTACACGAATCCATGAATACCATACACTACTGAGTGTACAAACCCAGAAATATATAAAAAAAAAACTTACCAAACGAGAGGCATAGCTGTGCAGGCAAAGCAAGAACTAGTCACTCTATCACGATCCATCACGAACAAAAATCAAACGAGCTAAGAAAAGAGGGGAAAAAAGGATCTCCCGCTAACTTGCAAATCAAGCATCTACCTGAAGCAAGGCACAAAAAAGCAGCACAAACTACACGAATCCATACCATACACACCTGAGAGTACAAGCCCAGGAAAAACAAAGAAAAAGGCAAAAACTAATCGCTCCATCACAAACAAAACTCAAACACCACTAAGCTATGAAAAGAGGGGAAAAAAGAAGAATCTCTTGCTAACTTGCAAAATAATCCAAGCCTAGGCACACAGGGAGCCTCAAACGAATATAAAAATTCAAGCAACACAAGCGCGAAAAGATTGATGCGAAGAATCGAGCGTACCTGATCGAAATATCACGCCGGAGTAGCAGCATTTGGCTTTGGCTTTGGAGGCGGCGGCGGAGGCGGCGGCGGAGGCGGCGTCTGCGATCACCAAAATCCCGACTAGAACCAGCTAAAATCGACTAGAAATTTCTTACTCTTGTGAGCGCCAATCCAGCAATTGCGATGACGCAGCCGGCGGTGCCAAGCATGAGCTGCGTCTTGTTCACCATCGCTCCTCTCCCTCGCCTAGAACCCTAAACCAGGGTTTATCTCTAAACATCAGGTTTAACAAGCTATTACCACGTGGACGGCCGAGATTTCTCGGCGCCAAGTTCTCGAAGTTTAAATTGTGCCTTACAACTGCCCTATATTTCGAGCATTTTCATCTCCTGGGGAGACGAAGCAGCGGCGGCGGGCGAGCACCTCATCGATCGACGCGTTGGAATGCTAGATCATTCGATCGCCAGGTATAGGCGACTATAAAACCCTAGGCTGCCGGCGCGAGATCTGGCGAGCAGGGTTCTCGAGAGTCGCCGTTGTGAATTGTGAGGATCGCTGGTCGGAATAAGCAGGGATTCTCACCATGGCGGGGCTGATCTACAGTTTTGTGTCGAGAGGCAATGTGGTTCTGGCGGAGTTCACGGCATTCTCTGGAAATTTTAGCACCATCGCTGTCCAGTGCCTCCAGAAGCTCCCCGCCAACAACAACAGATTCACCTATACTTGCGATCGTCATACTTTCAATTACTTGATTGAGGAGGGATTCAGTAAGTAGCATTTTCTCCATTCTTCTTTAGCTCATGGGTTTTTTCTTTGCAGCTTATATGGTTGTAGCAGACGAGGACTATGGGAGACAAGTACCTTTCGCGTTTCTTGAACGGGTTAAGGAAGACTTTAGGCGAAGATATGTTGGAGGAAGAGCGGAGACTGCCGTTGCTCACAGTTTGGACAGAGAATTTGGGTAACATGAACTCTTACATGGCTTGCTCAATCTGTACCTTGTGTTTTAGGCCCAAGCTCAAAGAACACATGGAATACTGCGCAGATCATCCAGAAGAAATGAACAAGATTGCCAGAATCAAACAGCAGGTTTCCGAAGTGAAAGGGATCATGATGGATAACATTGAAAAGGTGCACTATAGAGTTTCTAAAAGAAATTCGGTTCTTCAACTTTGGTTTTCCAGGTGCTCGAGAGGGGGGAGAAAATCGAGCTTCTGGTTGATAAGACGGAAAACCTACGGTTTCAGGTACAATGCTTTGTAACGTAAGAACGAAAATCAGTGTAACGCTACCTTCGATGGCAAACTGCAGGCCGACAACTTCCAACGGCAAGGCAGGCAGCTAAGGCGCAAGATGTGGCTGCAGAATATGAAAATGAAGCTCATAGTTCTTGCGATTGTCCTTTTCGTCATCGTAGTCATATGGCTTGCAATATGCCATGGGTTCAGCTGTAAGTAGGTGAAACTTGGTCAATCACAGGTTTGGCTGGTAGTATACAGAGAGTTTTAGATTAGTTTCTCGACCAGGCTGAGCAAGTTTCGTGATGAGACTTTCAGGATCGAGACATGTACAATCTTTGATCAGCATGGAGGTGGGAGAGAGCTACATAAGCAGAATGATCGAAGGGATCCAGCTGCAGAACACGTCTGGCTGCCTCGGATCCTCGTTCTTTGTCGTGGTGAGTTCTGCAAGCACCAAGAAACGCCATCCGAACGGATTGGTCGGGTGGAAACGGCATGGATGTGGTAACTTTCTCGGCTATATCAAGACGACCAGCTCTGCCCAGCAGATCGATCAAACACGAGTAATGCTGCGAATTGCACATAAGTTGGTAGTCACATTTCATCCCTGCAAAGTACTGACAACCTTGACTGACCAGGCCACCGTGAGCACAAGCAGACAACACGGCATTCAACGTGATTCCATCGGGCTTGAAGCCACCGTCCTGCTGCATTTCCCAGAAGAGCTTCAGTGCTCTCTCAGAATTTCCGTTCTGAGCGTTTGCCGCAATGTAAACGTTACACAGCACCAGGTTCTTCACTGCCACAGCATTGTAGGCCCGTTTCGCCTGCTTCAGGTTGCCACAACCACTGTACATCTCAACCAAAGCAGCAGCAACGTCCACCTCGCTCTGGAATCCAGAAGCCACAATCTGGGAATGAATCCAAAGGCCATCGCTTAGACTCCTACAGGAACTTAGCAGCTCCAGGAACGTTACTTGGTTGGCACGAACTCCAGAATGAAGCAGTCTCCGGAAAACTACCAGAGCGTCTTGGAACTGAGCTCGCTGGGAGAAGGCCGCGATCAGAGCAGTACAGGAAATAACATCCGGAGAGCTGATAGAGCCGAAGACTTTTCTCGCTCCTTCAACGTCACCACACTTTCCATAGAAGCTGACGAGCGCATTCGTGACTTGGAGGCTCGACTGGTAGCCGCTCTCGGCAATGCAATTCAAGACGAGCTGGTAAAACGGAGGAACTGGAGGATCGACAAGGTTTTTCTCCATGGAGCTAAGGATGGACAAAAAGGTGGCTCTGTCCGGTCTCCTCCCTTCGGCCATCATCTCCATGAACAGCGACGCCACTCGAGGAGCTTCTCCTTCCTCCGCAGCAGCGTTGATCATCACGTTCCAAGAGATTTCGTCTCTCTCAGCCATGGATTGGAAGACTCTCGCCGCTGCAGCAAGATCACCACACCGAGCAAGCATTCCAACGCAGGCATTGGCAACAACAGTCACCGCTCCAAATCCGGACCCGACGATCTGCTCGTGGATCAACTTCGCAGCACGAAGATCTTTACTACCAGAGAAGAGCACTAGCGTCGAGCTAAAGGTGATCTCGTTTGGCCTCACACCTTCCAGCTGCATCGATCGAAACAGCCGCATTGCCTCGGCGAGCTCCCCCAACCTGGCAGACGCTGCGATCATCACAGTCCAGGACACAACGTTTCTTTCGGGCATCCTCTCGAAGACTTTCCAGCAGCTTCGAAGATCCAGCCTCTTGCTATACATGCTCATCAGCGCGTTGGCAACGATTAGTTCCTGTTCCAGGCCACTCTCGACGATCCATCCGTGGACGCAAGTTGCCAGTTCCTGCGATTCATCTAGAGCGAGAGCGCCCAGCATCGCGACGAAGCTCACGGCGTCCGGGATCACTCCCTCGAGCAGCAGGCAGCGGAAGAGATAGATGGCCTGGTGGAAATCTCCGGAGTGGACGTAAGCGCTGATGATCGCGGTCCAGGCAAGCTTGCCTCGAGCCGGCATTGTGTCGAGCACTCTGCGCGCGTCGGCGAGGCTGCCGCATTTGAGATACATCTGGACGAGCTGGTTTCCAAGGTGGTGGTCGCGATCCAGCCCGGAGCTGACGATCCGCGAGTGGATCATCCGGGCGGTGGCGAGATCTCGCGTGGTGGAGCTGCATTCTCGCATGAGATTCGCGAGGAGTGATCGAGGGGGAAGAACTTTTGGTGGAGATGGGAGTGACTCGCTACTAAAGAAGGCCTTGAAGAGGAAGTGGGTGTTTCCAAGAGAGTTCTTTCTCATGGTTTGCTGGAGTGAAAGTCATACCAAACACTCCATGGAATGAAAATACAAAACTAATTAGACTTTCAGAACTGGAGGTAGCGTCCATGGCTACTCCTGGGACCAGCCTGCAGAAACGGGTTCGGAGTAACACTCTGTATCCTTGGAAACTGTCTTTGCAACTCCGGCACGATGCTCTGCATGAAATCCGCATCCAAAAGCTTGTCCAGAAGCAAAACAGCATCATCTGCCACACTGCTACCGACCATCTCGGCTGTCACTACGATCTTGACAGGCCGCTTGAAACCAGTTCTCGTGTTGATCTGTTCCATGCTGCCAAAGTCAATGCGGTATGAATCTCCTGAAGGGTGGGAGCTGGAAACGAGAAGACCTTGGAGCCGGATTTCTTCGCAGCCATGATCTTTGAAGATAAGTTGGAATTATATTCCTGCCAACGGATCATATATTTAGGAGGGTCATCTTTGATGCCTTGAAAGATCAGCCAAGATTTTGATCATTTTTCACAATCAGCATATTCTATCATTTAGGGTGTACGAATTGCTCTTCACTATTGACTCTACACTCCAAAGCAATACATGCGCTTTCAACAGCTATCCTCATTCCCTTGGTAGAACGCAAAGAATTTTCTTGCGTCTAAAATGCACGTACCTTGGATAGCCACAACGTTTGAAGCTGAAAGCACTTGCTTGAATAACTCTCCCTTCTTTTTCTCCCACAGACGAACGCCACATCATTGTGGAAAAAACTTCTTTCAAAGCCAAGGCCATAGAAGCATTTGCAGGCCTTGTGTTCAGCAATGCTTCCTTGACAGCTTTCCCCTTTCTGAAGCTGACACTCCCTGGCATGTCGCCAAGATTCAGGAACAAGCTGGTGTATAGTACCTGGAGCTCTGGTGCTATCCCGAAAAAATCTCTAGAACACTTTGCAAATTCTACATGACTGCCCCCAAAGACTGACTTGCAGCAGGCTGAAAGTGTCACCCGTGAAGCCCAATAGGATCAGGTCGACTCCCCCCTTCGGGCAGATGATTCCAACACCCGCCTTTCCCAGTGCAAACATTTGCTCCTTCTTGGTATGTCGAGCTTTTTAAACTGCAAGCACAAGAACTTCCCTTTCGCCACCTTTTCCCAACGCTTCCGCTGAGAAACATCCTCTTTGCAAAGAAGCGTCTTCCCGCAAAGGCTGCCACACAACTCCTCTAGAGTGAAGTTCACTGCAAGTAACAGCAGCAGTCGTGCCACAAGCTCCCCTTTGCAACCAGCATCGATCCAACCTTTCTGGAGCCCGTCATGAATGTTCCAAACAAATCTTCCATTCGGCGGCTGTCTCCGCAAAACAAGAGCTGCAGCCGCTGCAACTGCTGGCCCCACGGCCCAATCCGTCCAGACACGCCGCAGGTCCGAGATGGACTCGACGGTAAGCAAATGGCTGGCAACCATGCGAGAGACAATGCTGGCCTGCGGGTTAATGTTGATGCACACCGACGGCCAACTTGGCCTCTGTTGATATCGTACCATTATGATGAAACTTATTAGATGTTCCAGTACCACCAAGGAGCTTCTCCACAGCAAGGACCTGTACCCGACTTCCGCAAGCCTTGTACATTGCTGCCCACAACGGACGGACGTATGCAAAGAGACGACCCGAATCTGTGACTTGATCGAGCGAAAGGCTGCCTGTTTCCGGTGGCGAGCGCGCCGCAAACA